GGTCAAGGGTCCAGCCCGGACAGGGCGAATCATTGCGAGACGGGGCCAGACCGAGTCAGTCCTGTTCCGAGGTTGGCCAGTTGGTCCGACGGTCCCGCGGTCCAAGTCCCGTTGTCACCGGACGGCCGACCGGTGGCTTGGACACGCTCGACCCGGTCTCGGTGCCGGTCAGCGGAGCACAGCCTGTCCGGCCATTGGTTCAAGTCCTTGCCGACTTGATCGAAACTGCTGTCGGTGTCGAGCCCGGCCTGAGGGCCGGTTGGTCGGTCGGTCGATTGACTGTAGCTCTGCAGTACGCATCCAGTGGCTGGCCTGAAGGCTCGAGTCCCACACGAGGCTGAGCATTGAAGACTGCTTTGGCAAGTTGGTGGGGCTCTGAAAAGAGGGAAAAGTTGTTTGTGAGGAATTCGTCAATTGGTCTAATGAGAAACCGAAAGAGGATTGATTGGATGTCGTGAAGTCAAGATTGTTGTTGGAGGGACTTTCGTTTGGTAGGAAAGTGCATGAAGAAGGACGGATGAATCCCGTTGTAGTGCGGCCGTTTGGCTTTGATACGACATTCAGGTTGACGCAGTCCACGAGATCCTCCTTCTTGACTGAGTGTTCATGTGAGACTTTTGCTAGAATGAGTTCCAGCTCTGATGATGTCCGTCATTTGATGGACGGAAGCTCAGCCCGTTTTCACCCGAAACGAGGGCGGAAGTCTCGGGGACTGCGTCAACATGAATATCGGAAAAAGTCAAACGGTTGAAGTACAACGAGATTCATCCGTCCTCATTTGGTGAGATCGACCAACGAATCTCTTCTTTATGCACTTTCATTAGAACTGAAGGTCTCTCTTAACAATGTTATGTCAGGAGAGTCATCGAAACCGAGTTACTCTTCGTATCTATAACGATTGTTGGTATGAATAGTTCCCTTGATTAATAATTATTGATAGTATCGAAAGCTACTAATTAGCCTCATCGACTGAAATCACGGACACATGTCGGCTATCAGCAGACCCTGGCCGTGTAAGGCAATGTAGTGTAGTGTAATGAAGTGAAGTGTCGTGTAAAGAAGTGTAGTGTAGTGTAGTGTAGTGTAGTGTAGTGTAGTGTAGTGTAGTGTAGTGTAGTGTAGTGTAGTGT